AAAGATAATTTTTTATTTTGAAATTGTTATCACAAATCTTACAACGAAAACTCATGAAAACTCAAAGTTTCAACGCAAATGTCAAATATTAAAAGAGTAATGATATTTTTGAAACATCCCTACTTTCAACACACATACACACACACACACACACACACACACACACACAATCAATTTGAAATATTAATAATCCCTTCACATTTAATTAGAAGCATTTAAAAACCTGTAAAGTACTTATTGCGAATAATAATAATATAAATTAAAGAATAAAAAGAGTAAAAAGAGAACAGATCATCATAATACAAAAAAATTAAAGGACAAACTACGAAAACAATCAACACGGATCGAAGTCAAAATTTAAAATAATTATTAAACAATTATTTTAATATATTATATAAAAAATTCTTTTAATATATGAAAAAGGACATCTGTAATACAGTACAAACAAAAAATTTTAAGTAAGATACTTTTATAAAATATATGATTATAATTGAACTAGAGGCTTTGTTACAGTCTCTTCAACATTATCATTATTAATATTAGGTGTTGGAATTAATTCGTAGCGTTTTACAAGTGATGGGAAGTACTTTCATTAATGTATTTTTTAATGCTCATGTGAAATAAATAACATTCTTTCATTAAAAAACGCTACGAATTAATTCCAACACCTAATATAATGGTTAATGTAATGGTTACATACGTTAAAAACATCTGTCATTATTCATTGGCACAAATTTATGTATGAATTATCTATCTATTACGTTATCTATTATATGTATAGCATATATATAAGATATTCCAAAATTTGAGGATATAAGATTGTAGCGTGAAAGTTCGTGAAAAATTATAAATAATGAAAGTACATATTATTTTTTTAAATAAAGTAGTTTTTAAGTATATATATTTAAGGTACAAACAATCCTAAACATTCATTAAAAAGTCCTTTGTATCACACGTACCACATACATGATAGTATGTGTACAGCGACAATATTTAGTATCACTGATTGCAAAGTTAACATCTATTATTGTATATAATAAGGTTTTGATTTTGGATTATTTAAGCCCTTTGCTAAACGTTTGGTACGAAACCTGACTTAGCTTTAGATTAAATCTCTTTTTTTTTTAATGATCTGACCTAAAATAGGCCACTTGTTTGGTATAAAATGTGTGTTACTCGAACTAAAAGCTTACTAATCTTTCAAAGCTTATTAAGAAGACTAATTTTCTTGCTAAGATAAAGGCACAATAGCTAAAAGTGTAACTGGTGAACAGCGCTGAGACTGAGAAAATACTTCAGATCGCTTATGTAAACAGTTGGTGACCTTCTTTGAGATACCATATAGGTCAGGCCGCACATATGTCTTTCGAAACATATGTTTTCTAAACATAATCAGACATTAGATGAACAAATAATTTTTTAAACAACATTTAAGTCTGGTACATTTTAAATTCTTACACTTAAAAAACTGTTTTATAAAAAAGAAAATGGCATTTTTTATTCAGAGATCCGGAATTGAAATCGAAAACCGTTCTATAGCCCTTTTTTTTTGGTGAACCGAAACTGAAACTAAATTCTATAAAGTTAATAAGAGATGACTCCTTTTGCCTACAAATCGATTGCCTACAGCTCGATTGTCTACATTACTTTTGTTGACATTTGCGCACAAAAATTATTTCCTATACAGTCCGATTGCCTACAAGCACTTTTACGTACAAATAAAAATTTCAGAGACGAAATCACATTTGCCTACATGTATTATTGTCTACAGGTCGATTGCCTACAGCTCAATTGCTTATGAAGCATTTTACCTCTCTTAGGTGGCTTCATTAATTTATAAATTTGATAAAAGGGAAACTGGATTAAAAAAATGATTTGTATTAGCTGATAAAAACATTTAATAATCCTTAATAAGTAATATAAATATAATATATTTTTAACTGTGTGTTTAATATATCGTTTCTGATAAAATATGCTTGGTATAACTCATGTAAAAATGTTAAATTAAAAAATTAAAAATTTATCTCAACTATATGAAAATTTTCTGTCTTCAAAAACTTGCTGCCTTAGACAAATGCCTTGTTTGCATTAATCCATCACTGTCTACGAGCACTTTTGTGCAAATATAATATAAAATTAAGGTTAAGTT